TTTTTATGTGGAGTGTTCAGGGAAAACTTTCTCAAGATTTATAATTTACTATGACTCTTCATCAACTAATGCAGAAAGAAATGGTATCTTGCTTTTTCTCCTGTAAAGAGGAATTTTCAAGGATTTTTATGAAAATACGAAGGGGCAGCTTTATACTTTTTTTATATCTCCAGCAACACAAATAAAGCAATCACAGTATACTGGTGAATCTGGCTTTGAAAGTCTGCATTTATCTTATTAAAGCATTTTTGTATATTCAGGGTTTTTTGGTTTGTATTCAACATTAAGGCCATAATGCTGAGTTATTCAAGTTGGCAGTTTGGTTCTGTATTTGGAGTTATTTAAAACATTTACAAATGTGTGAATGACTGATATTCTAAGACGATATTTTCACAAACAAGATGCATGATGTTTCTAACAAATCTAGGTAAGGAAGATAGTTTAAACCTGTGAAAGAACTTGGTGCTATTTTGTGGTATTTCTCAGGTAATTAACCATGCCTCAGTTTCCCTGCCTTTATAGCATACTTTGTATATAGATATAAGGAACAGAATTAGGACTATTTGTCTATTGTTCAAGTGAATACAATATGAATACTATGACTGGCATTTACCTTCCAGAAGACATGCACCCAGCGGTGCAGGAGAAGAATAGGGGTATCTTTCAGAAACCTTGTATACTCCCTATTTGCTGAATTCTTATGTTTGGTGTCCTGCTGAGTTGTTATTGTTTTTTGGGTTTTTTTGTTTTTTAAATTTAAGCTCACATCATAGATGCTTGAGCTGTACATAAGGCTAAGAAATATGGACATGGGAGTTAGGATCCCTCTTTCCCTGTTGTATTCCCTCATCTTCTCTAGTTCAGATTTCTGAGCTTAATATCCACTGTACTTGCTTTATATGTGTTGTGCAATAAAAGGCAAGTTGTATTTAAGCTGTAAGGGTGATAGTAGTTCAGTGTCTTGCAGTTCAGAAATTAGAAAATGTTACATTTCCTTGGTGGTAATAAGGCTAGGGACAGAAGTTGCATGTAAACTAGTTTAAGTGATCGGTCCTTGGGCCCACGCTGTTCAATTTCTTTATCAGCGACTTGGACAACACGGTGAAAAGCAACCTGTTTTAAGTTTGCTGCTGATACCAAAATTTGGGGTGAGGTGAGCACGCTAGCAGGGAGGGAAAGACTGCAGCAAGACTTGGATAGGTTACAGGGGTGGGCTAACAAAAACAGGATGCGCTTCAATAC